TCAGTGAGAGGCAGAAACTATGTCGGCGGGAGAGCATCTCCCGCCAATATAGTGCAGATGTGGACAGTGCTTAGCTTAATTGTTTGCACTCCAGAGCAACGCAAGTTAGATCAGCTTAAGCGGCAGACCTGTCCGGAGAGAGACAGAGACAGAAGCAGCCAGGACAGGCATGGCATATGACTCTGTATATAAAGAACCACTCTCCTGATGTTTAGTTCCCCTGGTTTTCCAAGAAACAGGACTTTATATGTTATTTGTAAATAAAGAAGATCACAAAGAAAACACCAGACTATCTTCAATTTCTTCTCCTAACTGGAATGTCTGGGACAGCTGAGACTGGATTTTTGCAGGAGTTGTGGGTCTAGTCCGCCTGTGACTAGTTAATGGAACAACCCACAGCACCAAATTGGTTTAAATGTCTCAACAAATTCTTCAATGTGGTTACCTCCTTTCAACTTTAATATAGCTACAGCAGAGGCTAACTCCATGACTGGAATTTCTGTGGTAAGCCACACATCAGCATTCCTGTTAATTCTAATAGTAACAACACAGACAGAAAAGTCATCAAGAATAGTTGATACTAAAACATCATACAATGCAGTAACCAAAATGTTTTTATTAGATTCCCCATGAATCTCCTATAACAGAGTGTATAAAAATGGAATATGACATTTTTTCCTTTCAGAAATATTGCAGTGTTTGAAGTTTTTTAGGATAATTTATCATTTCTAACAGGTTACTATTTCCCCCCTATTATTAGCTAAATGTTAGTCACCGATTATGTTTTGAGTGTTAAAGAAAACTCTGCTTTACTGCAGAAACTATTATTTTGAATTACAAAATGCAAAGCACAGTTTTACTAAATACCAATGTTAACCAAGCCCAAACAGTAACATTACAGGCTACTGTGGCGTCTTAGACTTATCTTAGCCAGTGAAAATGACATAGTTAAAATAGCTTATAGTATAGTACACTTAGCTAATAGTATAAAATGCACAATCGACCGCTAAGGTAGAGTTTATTTGATGGGAGAAAACAAGTAGGGTTTTTTTTTTCCTGAAGCAACATACTATATCCCACTTTACAGCTCAAACCTCTGACAATTTAATATCCTTTTACAGGAGAGATAAATACTGAACTATCTTTTGCTGCAAACAGAAGGCTAGTTAAACAGTGAGATATATTATGCAATCTTCAGTCATATGATAAAATCCACTTTAAATATGAGAGATCATAATTTCAAGCATTTTCAAGCACAGAAACAATGCCACACCAAAGTGGGACACTATTTACAACTGCTTATTTTAGCAGGTCACTTAATATCTCTGGGGGGGAATTCTGTTTCTCTTTGCTTCTGAGGAATTTCTCTTGTGAGGAAAATGTGTATGTCTATATCACTTCCAGTGATAATAAACTTAGTGTTGGAATGATCTGCTTTTTAGGGAACGGGACACATTCAAGGAAAATAGAAGTCAGACACTCCTCCCCCCGCCCCCGAGACTTCATACAGTGCTAGTTTTCTGAGTAACCTTTGTTACTGTAGAAGTACATTTTCTAACGTCTTTCACTAATTTCTTTCTTCAGAGAAAACAGCTTCAAATTCAAGACACCTGAATAGAACAAAACATCTGTATAAAATGATAAACTTATTCTTTGAAATCTTCACTACTTTGAGAATTGAAAATGTTTTGCAAGTTTGGCAATTAGATATTTTCTTATAGACTGGACCAGTAAACAAAGCAACAACCAGAAGTTGACTGCTTCTTTGAGAATGGTCATTTCTTTTCATGGAAGTGGCTGAACTTATGATTTCTCTTACATGTGTACTTGGATTTGAGATGAAGAGGCAAAGGGATATAGGCCAGGTCACTGAGGGGAAAATCCAATTAAATTATCTCCAGAACATCAGGGGGAGGAAAACAACAGTGAATATGGCTGTGTCACCCCTTCTTCTAAAACTGAGGAATGCTGAGGCTGGCATCTTGAAGGTCTTTTCTGAGGGGAGGGAGTAATACTGCTGAGGGATACAATGGGGAGCAGTCATCATAGGAAACAGTGTTCTCCTCAGGAAACGTGAAGAATTTCTAGCAGAAAATCACAGTAGGATTCCTTTGGAAAGGGCAGGAATATGTCAGTGCAGAACTAGAAGTAGCCTAGATCCTGCATTAGCTGTGCAAGAGAGGAAAGTGCTGGAAGAACACGGGCTCTTTGTATGAATGCCTTGAGAACCATGGGGTTTAGAAAACATCATGTCTTTCAGCATCATGTCTTTCAGGGACTGCCCTGCCTACCCTCCCTCCAGAAGCCACAATGGCCAGAAAAGAATAATTTATCTAGTGAAGAGGATGATGTAGCCTAGGATCATTTGGCCAGGAATGATGACAAGGTCTCTGACTTGTGCTTATGAAATGAGGAATTATTCCTAGCATTTCTAAAACGTCTTCCAGTTTCTACGAAAGTGGCACTAAGACAGTAAGAAAACTTTGGGACTCAATCAGTTTTAACTTTGCCTGGTCTTTGCAATCAGGAAAAATTCTTCTTAGCAACAAAGAAGGAAAAGTAACTTGTTTGGGGAGCCATTGTAATGTACCATTGTTGTGGAAGTTTTACAGTATGGGTATTCACTCAGACCACTCAGTACACGAGAAAGGAGGCAGATGTCCCAAAGGAAAAATAAAAGGTAAGAAATCAGTATGCATGAGCAGACTACTCTGACATGAAAACACAGAAAAATTTCTGAAAAGTTAGGTCAATGTGGTCCCCACAGCATGTCTGATATATACACTGGCTGGTTCATATAATCGATCGCCAAGTCTTTGTCTCATTACCGAATGTCAATATTACCAGGTTCATGTTTTTACAAGGACGAGCCATTTTTGAATGATATTTCCTATGTATTTTATCTGGAGATCCTTCCCTGAAACACTGGAAATGCAAATGTTTCCTTTTTTCTTCTTCTTCCAAAAAATTATGGTGGCAAGTGTAGGAAAAAATCCATTCTTCATTTGTTTGAGTTCTCCTCTGACCTTGGGATAATAAATAGGGCAGTGACACAATTTAGGATTTGTCACAATTTAACAAACCAGTTTCTTGCTTGCTTTTTTAAAATCCCCCTCCAGGATTCCGGTGTCATGGAACAGCTTGTAATATACAGCAGCCAGCTCCAGTATTTCCATCTTTTGAGGACTGAAATGGATTTAACTCGTATTAGTGGAGTTACTGTGCTCACTGCCTGACACGGTGCAGGAGTGCCATCCACAATGGATGTGCAGACAATTTTAGTACAAGACTAATCAGTGAAAGCAAATTGTGCTGAGGCAGATATGCTGTGAAATCAAGCTGCTACCGCCCACTACATGCTGACAAAAGGCTATTTCCTTGTTACTGAACAAGTTTGAAATATATGGATAATGTGAAGATCTGTGTATGTGTGTATATGTCACTTTATATGGCCAATATATATATAGGGACCGAATGGCTAGGCAGCAGTTCTTCGGAAAAGGACCTAGGGGTGACAGTGGACGAGAAGCTGGATATGAGTCAGCAGTGTGCCCTTGTTGCCAAGAAGGCCAATGGCATTTTGGGATGTATAAGTAGGGGCATAGCGAGCAGATCGAGGGACGTGATCGTTCCCCTCTATTCGACATTGGTGAGGCCTCATCTGGAGTACTGTGTCCAGTTTTGGGCCCCACACTACAAGAAGGATGTGGATAAATTGGAGAGAGTCCAGCAAAGGGCAACAAAAATGATTAGGGGTCTGGAACACATGAGTTATGAGGAGAGGCTGAGGAAGCTGGGATTGTTTATCCTGCAGAAGAGAAGAATGAGGGGGGATTTGATAGCTGCTTTCAACTACCTGAAAGGGGGTTCCAAAGAGGATGGCTCTAGACTGTTCTCAATGGTAGCAGATGACAGAACGAGGAGTAATGGTCTCAAGTTGCAGTGGGGGAGGTTTAGATTGGATATTAGGAAAAACTTTTTCACTAAGAGGGTGGTGAAACACTGGAATGCGTTACCTAGGGAGGTGGTAGAATCTCCTTCCTTAGAGGTTTTTAAGGTCAGGCTTGACAAAGCCCTGGCTGGGATGATTTAACTGGGAATTGGTCCTGCTTTGAGCAGGGGGTTGGACTAGATGACCTTCTGGGGTCCCTTCCAACCCTGATATTCTATGATTCAATAGCTGTGGATTCACTCTGGTAATTGGTGGAATCCACGCTTAAATATGCAGCTAACCAAAGCACACTGAGATGCTCATATGTGGCCAGAATTGGTTTCTTACTATATGTGAAGAAAGCAACCAGCATGTAGTGGATGCAACATAAGCCAGATAATAACCAAGTACCTCCTTTGGTGCTTTTTGATTTGATGCAGGCAGCTGTGCAGAGAATTCACATAGATATACAAAGGGAAATGGTGAGGAACAGATCCTCCAATTAGTGGTTTACTACTCTAATCAAATAGATAAGAGTAGGACACTGGAGACCAGTCTGCAATTTCCCTTCACCTCAGTTCCCTTGTAGTAAATCTTGGCCATTCAATGCTTTGCATTATACTGCTTTAGTTCATCAAGATTCAGTACCAGCAAAATTCTTAAACATGATTTTACTTTAACCACATCACGTTATCTTCAATGGGATTACTCATGTGCTTAAAATTAAGCACATGCTCAAGTGTTTTGATGGATCTTAGCTTAAGTGTTAAGTAAAGAAATACTACTACATGCACAATGAACACTCAAAGGATAAATTGATAATGTATGAATGTACCCAAAGAATAAATTGACTTAGTATGAAAGAATACAGCAAAAAATATACCGGTTCTGTAAAGAAAAAAACTTCTCTCCCTTCCAGGAGATATAATCAAAACTTCTACAAGATGTAAGCAGCAACTCATAACACAAGAAAATATAAAGACCACATTTACAATACTGTATATCCCCAGAATCATTTCAAACAAGAGGTCACCAGAGTGGTTAAATAATTCGAGGTTGAACACTTAACAATGGTTTATATTAAAGATTTTTATTCACATTTATTTAAAAATTGATATAACATAGCTTCTCATACTTCACAACATGGTAATACATTTATATACTTTTTTCCAGTAATTCTAGTAATAAACAACTTTTCTTTTCTAAAAGGGAATAATACACCATTTAGAAATGTTTGTCTTGGAATGTAAATACTTAGCTATCACAATAGTCTAAGTAAAGTGATGCTTGATAGACAAACTGTACAGTGGCAAATTTGATGAAAGGTTTGTTACGTTTCCTAAAACTAGATAGGAATATTGCCTAAATCAACTGAAATCATAACTGAAAAATGAGACACAAAATGATTTAAATGTATTTTTCCCTTTCAGTTATCAGCAACATATGGCCATTAATAAAGTGTTATGGTTTAGATATATAATTTAAATATCCTAAAAAGTATATAATGTACTATAGATAAACAAAAATATAACACCAATCTTAGATTAAATCCATGCAAGATTTTGGAACCTGGAGGTAAATAATCAAATCAAGATATATTATAGAGTGACTCCAGTAAACTGGTTACTCATGTGGTGCTTTGCTCATGAAAAATATGCTAACATGCATGAAAAAAATGTTCATTTTCACTGTCCTTCAGAAAGAACTTGCACAGTACCCTTGACTTCCCCCAAAGGAAACTGGAGGTACAAACGGTCTACATTCAGTATCAGAATTTCGGCAGGTCTGTTGTACATCTAATGTGCAGATTTACCGAGAGACGTGTATGATGTGACATATTAATCATAAAGGATTTGTGTGAATGACCTTATGTAGACTGTGTACTGTATGACCTAAATCACAACTACAGATGTAGACTGTTCTCTCACATTAGTAACTGTTGAAACTAAGATCGCAGCCGGGAGAGTGGTCCCATCTAATTTAACATGGATTTTAAGGCCTTGAAATGAAATTTGTGTCACGGAAAGATATTTCTTTTACACTTTCACTGTTACCTGGCCATACGTGCTTGGGCTATAATGCAAAACATAAAAGAGTTGCTGTTATTTGTTAAACTAATTCTTTCACAACTATTTTCCGACTGTCATTTCTACATAAGACTGTTTTCTTTTATAATTTTTCTGGGGGCTGTGAAGGTGATCACAGACAAACTCAAAATGTTTTGATGCCAGAAATTGATTTTTTTTAAATATGTCTAATGAAGAGAAATACAAGAAACGCATGATAGGTTGGTACTGTTTTCTTTTTAAAAAACCCATGAGTGTTAATCTTAACCATACATAGATGCACTGGACATCTCTCTATTTCCCAGCTGGCTCTCTGATTTTTTTCCATTTATCTAGTGTAATGAGTCTGAACTTGCATTCCTTGGTGCACCTGAAACCCCGCCGGAAGTCCTTGGGCTCTGTCTGCATACAAATAACTTTCAGTCTTGTCGCTAGCTGCTCCTTTTCTAGTGCTGCTACTGTCAGAGACAGAAAAGCTCAGAAGTCACCAGGAGGGGCTTGGCATAGCAAACACTGTAGTAACCCGTAAAATAACCTATACCCTCCATTTGCTATCAATAATACATATCTAATCCCACGAGAGCCTAGCAAGTCAACAGCCTCCTGAAGGTTTGTCTCTTCTTTCCATGTTTTAAAACGTCTGGTGAGGCAAACAGAAATGTAAAGAGGGAATATATTATCCTCATTTTTCTAAATGGCAACATCTCCTCATCTGGCCCTATCTTTTTTTCTCGGCTCTTCCCCTTCTCTACTTCTTTTTTCTCTGCTTTTTTTGCTCGTTGACCTCCTTTCTCTTCTTTCCATTCACACATCTTTTACATCTGTGTTTCAAACTAGGCCCACATGTGATTGCACCTCCCACACCAGAATCTGGAAGAGGGTGAAACATGCACCTCCAGTCTGGAGAGAGAGAGAACTGGTAGAAGTTTGGGAAACTGAGATAGGGAAGGAGGCACACCTGGTAAAACCAGCAGACACCATGGATCTGCAGGGAAGTCTATGCAGAATCCACAGACCTTCCACATATAAGACAAATCCTTCTTCACAAGCCGCCTAGCTCCATCTGGAGCTGTATCATCAATACCTCTGGTCCCCAGGCCTGCATATCAAGCATCTCCCTCCAAGAGTGATACTAGCATAGATGACTTCCCCTGGGAAAAATCTGTACGCTGCAGAGGCACCTGTCATGTCCAGTGGCTGCCACTATATTTCTCCCTCTCACAGAATGCCATGCTAGTGTCACAGAAGGGCTTCTGCTGTGTCTGGAGACAAAGTAGATCATGTCATGGAAGACCAGCCCCAGTCCTGATTGTGTGTGTGTGTGTGGGGGGGGGGAGGACTCATTTTATTGCCCTGCCCACTAGGTAGGAGATAGGAGCCCATGAGCCCTTATTATGGCTGACATTAGTCCATTGAGCCTCCTTAGAAGTGACTGGAGACTTCAGACAAGTGGTTTCCACAAACACTTTTCTGCCAGGAGGAGGGATACTCAAACCTCAACCCAAGTGCACTTTTTAAATAAATGGGCCCTCTCAAGCCGGACAAGAGAATGAAGGGGATGCAATTTGCAGTGCAGTGCCAACAGATGTATATTATTTCTGTTTATGGTCTCATGGTCTGAATGGTCCTAAATTCATCTGCTATACTCCATTTTGACACATCAGGGAACACAGCACAACCAGACTAATGTTTGCTAATATGCTGGCACTCAAGTTTCACAAGCTGTTAGATGCAGGAGTGGAAATGTACGAATGTTAATTGTATATGTTAGAAATAGTATATTTAATGGTGTGATTTGATTAAACTTGTATTACACAAACATTCAATAAAGGTTTTGAACCTGATCCAGAGCTTATGAAGCCAATAGAATGACTTCCATTGATTTTAATAGGCTTTGGCTTGGGCCCTTAATGATCTGAGCTTATTTTATTTCTATTTGTCACACACACACACACACACACACACACCCATCTAGAGTTCACCCTCAATATTTGAGAGGCACAGACATTTACTTCTAGGATTCTGTGTTTGTCCCTTTCTATGGATGTTTCCCAAGAAGAATCAGAGAGAGAGAGAGAGAGAGAGAGAGACTAGACTTGATTTATATTATATATGACCAGCCTTCCCTATCAGCTTTCTAGCTGTTTTCTCTGGGCTAATAATTGCCCTATGGCAGAATGACTATTTTTATTCATGAAAGAAGTAAGAAAGTTTTCAGCTATATTACTATTGTGCACACTTGGGACAGCCACTTTCAATGAACTGCCCGAGAATAATTACTGCCTTCCAAATATTAAATAAAATGGTCAATATATGCTCCCTGTTCTTTCAATATATAGGATCTGAGTCACTTCTGGAACAAGCATACACAACTTTGGTGACAGTATCATGGCCCGAAGTGAATTTTGCCAGTGGAATCGAGTATTTTGGTGGGCACAGCAGCTGATAGAATCTTGACTATCTGCCTTTATGGCAATGTTTCTTCTAGGCCCTGTCAGTCTGCCTTTGGCATTCCTTCCTTACATGTTCTGGAATATTGGTCAATGGAACCCAGAGAAGCATCTGAGCTATCCTGAGAATAATAATAATAATAAAATCTAGCTCTTATATAGCACTTTTCAGCAGCAGATCTCAAAGAAGCACTACAAAGTGCTGAAAACCACAGAAGAAATCACTGCAACAGAAGACCCTTAATTTATAAGGGATATGAGAATGCTGTATCAAAGAAATAATATTTTGTTTGCTGTTATTGAATATTCTAAGCAGTACTTGCTAAATTTAGGTTTGTAATAAAGTTATTAATACAATATAGACATATAAATTATTAGCACACTCGTAACTTCTCTATTCTACTTGTATACAATGCATATATATAGTGTTAATAATATAGAATATGTTATGTATTTCTTTGATACTTTTTTGTAAATCTTTTTGTGTGATTTTTTTAAAGGCATTTTAAGTAGAAAGCATTATGGGGAGCTGGATAACCCCCTACTCTCCCTACAATAGGTTGAACTAATTTGGACAGTTTCCTGTATTTTTATTTTCCTGAATATATATACCAGTCTTTTCCACTGATCAAACAATTATCTTTTTGGACAGAATAAAATTTCCTGACCTTGCAATTCTCACGAAGGTACACACACCTCTCACTAACTCACATTTGGCCCTAAAACATTTGGTGAAATCTTTTGAATAAGTGCCCCTGTTCTCACCTGTGGGGGCTACCTAGACCTATGGAATGTCGACAGAGGATTTGCCTTCTAGTGAATTGCTATAGTACTTAGGGTGAGACTATTAAAGATGCATTTGATTTAGCAGGAAAAGTGTACACATCAGAAAACAGAAAACTTAGAAGTGTTTCACTGGGCCAGACTCCCTGGCATGGGGAACTCTCCTAGTGGTGGAAAATATTCTAACCCACCTCCCAACATAGCCGACAGCGTAGGGGGCACACCCTGTGCAGTAACTGTACTTTGGGTATTTCTGGCAGCCGAAATAGCAACTCTACTTTACATCGAATATTGTTTAAGGCTGCTGGTTTATGTCAGAAGCTGAGCTGGTCAAGGAGAATCATGGAGTTGTATAGGTGGTGTAAAGAGACCTTTGCTCCCCAACTGAAGTCCTGTGCCAATTGTAGCATGGCTAGAACAAAGGCCCATTGTTTTTTTTTTCCCTGAAAACAACTTATAAAGCTTATTTACCTCTTTTCTGAAGTACTTCATCAAAAGGGTCAGATGCTCAGAGAAGCATCTAAAGTTTGGCTGTTTCTCATAATCTTATTGGTCTAATAATGGTATCTGTCTCATTTATGTGGAACAAGTTTAGTTGTGGTACATAAAAGGTTGTTAAAAGGAGGAGGGAGAAAAATTGTTCTTCTTAACCTCTGAGGATAGAACAAGAAGCAGTGGGCTTAAACTGCGGCAACAGTGGCTTAGGCTGGACATTAGGGAAATCTTCATAACTGTCAGAGTGGTTAAGCACCAGAATAAATTGCCTAGAGGGGTTGTGGAATCTCCATCATTGGGGATTTTTAAGAGCAGGTTGCACGAACACCCTCAGGGAGGGTTGAGGTAATACTTAGTCCTGAATGCTTGAATGCAGGGGACTGGACTAGATGACCTCTCCAGGTCCCTTCCAGTTCTATGATTCTATATCTGGTACTTCCTGATGTGGTCTGACCAGATATACAGCACGTGATTTCTTCAGGGTATTCTAGCACTTTTCCTTCCAGTCCTAGCCCAAGTCACAAACTGTATAGGTGTGTGGTGATATTAAAAAAAAAAACACAAATGTCAAAAACATAATTTGGGTTCAACTCAAGGCCCAAGCAAAGTTTCAGGTGAGATTCTCTCTTAAAACTAGAAGAGTATATAAAATTATACTTATTTATACAGGTTTAGTGGGATGAGAATGACTAATTCATGACTGCATAGAATGGGTCAGAATATTTTTGTTTTATTGAATACTGCACTGGTATTTTTGAATTAGTCAACACAAGCCTGATTCACACTTACATTAAGGCCACTTTACACCATTCTGACAGCGTAAAGTAGAAATGGTTTTCTGTCCAGATAATATTTTCAAGAGTTCATAATTTTTTCTTGCCCTAGATTGGGACAAAAAGTCAAAATCTCAAACATTTTTGTGAACTAAAAAGCCGCACTATTGTTTTGTTCAAGTCAGTTGAAACATTTTGGTCTGATCATTTTGAAATATTTCATTTAAATTTCAACCTGTTTTTTCTCTTTAACTTTTTTCAGTCTAACTTAAATTTTGAAATAAAAAGTAAAACTGGAAAACTATTTTTTTTTGTTTCAAAAGTGTTTAAACATCTTGAAAATACTATTTTAAAGAATATTTTTAGTTGGGAGATTCATTGAAATTGACGCATTTTCACAGTCTTGCTTTCAACAACACAGGACTTTTCAACCAAAAAACGTTTCACCTACAAATTTCCAACCAGCTCTAGGGTTAAGGAGGTCTAAACAGGTACAAATGTAATTTATGTTGACTTTAAGACTCCTTTTCTTCAAAAGAGTGGTGCAAAGTTGCCTTAGTATAAATTAGAATCATTCCCTTAGTTTTAACTTCTCCAAGCCTGGCATGAAAATAAATCCATTCACTTTGCAGGTTGGAATGTCTGCAAAATAGTCAATCTAAATATGTTGGTGGTGTGTGTTTGTTTTCTAAAATCAAAACAATCTCCAGCAGTCTCTGTTTTGTATGTAGTTTAGAAAGTTAGATTGAACCAAGAAAAATTATTACCAAATTGCAAATTTAGACAAAACAAAAAGAAAATGTGCTAACAGAAGTTATCTTTAAATAGAAATTATCCAGAAAAAAAACAGGTTTCTCATCAATAGTAACATTTCTAGTCTCCCCTTGACATTTGAGCATCCTGAATGAATTCTGTTCATTGTTTTCCTGTTTCATCTATCACATTGTGGTTATACGGTAGCACCAGATGAAAATACTAAGACCAAATACAAAGAAGTACAGTACAGATTGTAAATTCTATGTGTTAATTACATGCTACAGAAGTTCCACCGTTTCAACAAAAGTAATTTCCAACTTCCAAAACCTTGCTGTTATTTCATTAAAAAACCAAACAAAAAAACTTGAATATACAGTATACTGCTTTTGAATAAATATGTTATCTACAATTTATAAGACAAAATCAATTTAAATATAAAAAAGATTTGTATTACATAAAGCAAGAGAGTACAAAAGCACAGCTTTTGTAATTTTGGTAATATTGCAATTTTACAAACATTGCATAGTATGTGTAAGAAAATATTTCCATCTTTTTATATATCTATACACACAAGAAAAACATTAACATGATAGTTACAAAACAAAACAAAAAATGGTTAGCAGATTTTTTTTTAAGTATGGTTTTAAACAATACAACACTCAAACTCTTATCCAGTTTGCATCTGCATTACAGTGAATCAGCTGATATCTCCAATATTCTAAGTTTGGCTTTTATTTTGTTAACATGTAGGCAATGATTTAGAAACCCTAAAAATATCACAGGTTATTACAGCTGAATATCCTTAACATCCGTCATCAACTTCTTTCAGTCCCTATGGCTGTTTCTTCAATCCATACTAAATATGTTTATGTTTACTGTTTCTAAATTGGTCTAATGTGAATTGTGTTATCCGGTCCAACCACTGTACAAGCAAAACAATGTAAATTATAAATTCAGTTGAAGTAAGCAACTTTTTGGTACATTCTGGAATACACATTCTTTCCTCTTCTCATGATCTCAAACAGTGAAAGAACCTGTTATGTCTGAAGAACAATATAATTGGACACTGACACACTATCCCTCTGGAACAAAAAATCTACATCTCAAAATGCTGCACAGAGCAAAAGTACATTACCATTTCATGTTGTAATTACAACTTCTCCTCTCTTCCTTCCAACAGAATTAGTGGAAGCAGCTGTGTCATACTATTAGATATAATAGAAGTGTCAGTCTTTGGTCTTTAACATTTAACCAGTGAATGAACTGCAGTACAAAACCATACAGGTAACAGTGTTCAAAGAGGTCATTCAATGTTTGTTTGCTTTTTTTAAACAAGAAAGAGACAGTATCCTTTTCTATTATAACGGACGTTTTTACAACATATTATACGATAATAAATATTAATACATGTAGCTAACAAGGTCTTTTTTTTATATTTCATTGTGGCCATATGAGCAATTTTGAGGAGGTGAGCCAACTACAAAACCACTTCAGTAGCGCCCAAGCTAATAAGCTAATAAAAAGAGGCAGTATGTGATACATGTATTCATATATTATAAAGCACCTGAGAGGATTATTTTTTAGCCCCAGGTATTATTTTCCTAATTGGACATTTACTAATTGAAAAGAAAAAGAGTTAAAAATGCTTTTGGGACTCTCACCCCTGCCCTGCAGCTGTCACAATGCAATGACCTGGAAATTCGGAAGCTGTTGCCTTAGCCACGGCAAGAAGTTGCATACCTTTTCTAAAGAGGGGTATCGGAACATTCAGCCAGTCAAGCATACTAATGGGGGAAAGGGTTGCAGTTGCTTTATCATGAGCAGAGCAAGGCAGCAAGGTGACAGGTGGCAAGGACAGCAATGAAAAACATCCTTCGGTTTTGAACACGCGACCTCCTTTACTTTACACCTCAGCTTCATAAAATCAATAGCCGAAATGTAATGATATCACTCCCTGTTTCTGTGTGATCTATTTGCTGAGAGCATCCACGAGCCCTCCATCGAAAACTAAATGCATGGGTGTTTGCAGCTGCATTTTTTTTTTTTTTAGCACGACCACCAGTTGAACTGGGAAACAGGGAGGAACATTAATTTAAAGCATTTTAGGAACTTGTAACTATGGTTTGTTTCAGCATTCCTTCTTATTTGCTCTTCATAAACATACATACAAGTAAGGTTTTCAGTACTGCCAAATCCAAGCATTCAAAATTCATCAGTCAGGCCCCCAAAATCATGAGATTGGCTTAAAATAATTTTTCCATTCTTGTTGTTTTCCTTCTGCTTTTTTTTTTAAATTGGATCACATTTTTAAGCTTTTCTCCATAACCTTGAGAACTAGAAACTTACTTTTTAAAAAAATGGATGCTGAGGTTCTTACATATTCACTTGTTTCCAGGAGCTGGGGCTTAAAGTAAAACGTCCAATTTCACAAGACTCACATTAACATTTGCAAGAGTTGGCAACCCTGAACATACAAATGTTGGTGGAAAATGAATTTAGTCTTGTCGCTAAAATTAATCTCATCACATAATTACATTTGTTTTTGCAATATAATGAATTTCAGTTCACGCAGAAGTAGGAGTAGTTTATACAAGTTAGGTCATTCAGCCAGGGAACCAAAACTCTACTGTATTCAGGTGACCAGTCATACAGTTCGAATATCATGAATGGAGAATACTCAAGGGAAGACTCACAGCAAACTATTGCAAGCCATTCCCAGAGGCTGACATTTGTTTGCACAAACATTCCGCAATACACTTTAAACAGCAAAGAACTAATCAGTCTATTCACGAACACTTTGAGAACAGCACAAAGGGTTAAATTCACCGAATCAATGATTCTCTGCAATTTTTTGCCCATCTTTTAAATTACCAGCATACGCACGTGGGCACAGGTGATAGAATGTATGAGCTCAGACACACAGACTCATTCAGCGGTGTCCTCCTCTCCTTGGAATATCATTTGTGCTGATGAGTTTTACACATACATTCTGTTACCTATGTGCCCAAATGAAAGATATCTCTTTCCTCATAAGGTCATTTGAAGATCCACTATACATTGACAATTCCTACAGTTTTCTTACAATGCTGCTACTTTATTTCCTGTATTGCAGAGAATTAGCGTACCAGAAAAAGGAAAAACAAATGACTAACAACAGAAGTATTTTTCTTTATTAAAGACAAGGAATTAAAGTCTCAAAACTCAAAAGTTAACAGCTGAAGAAATCTGAGCAAATGAAGTAGTCTAATTAAAATCCTTGTTTGACTATGTAGTAGCGGAGGGGATAGCTCTTCCTTTTTGGTGAAATTCATCCCTACACATAAGACTAGAACAAGGCCAAATAGCTGTGAAGCAGTGTATAGACCTTGTGCTGGTCTTCTTCATAAGGGTGAATGTCACCTGTAGTGAACAAAATAAACCCTATAGATGATACTAAAACAGAAAATTAATCACATTATTATGGTTGCCAAGTTTCACTTTTTATTTTTTCGTTTATTTTTTACCCCTTTAATACTACTCTCCCCAACTTTAGAGTTAGCTTTGGAAGCAAATCATTGCATTGGTGTTCTTATAGTTAGACACAGCAAAAACTATGAGCTGGGTGGGATAACTGAAAAGATAATATTTAAAAGCACACTTACCTTATTGTTATCAAGTCATCTTCCCACAATAGGAAACATTTTTTATCTGTTTTACATTCCTGGATTCTGCAAGTTTCAAGATACTCTTGTTAAGCAGCAGTGAGACAAATTTATCAACAATATACCAAAGTGTCTTTTGCAGGAGCTCAATTACTAGAAAACAGGTAATGAAAAATGGAACATAACTAAATTCCTAGGTCAAGCTAGTCAAAAGGAGAGTTACTATTGAAAGCTGAGTGGAAATATGATAGCTTTATCTAAACACAGACCTGGTGGAGTCAACACAATGTCAATGTACTTGTTAATATTCTATGCCATTTCATATTTGCTCATGGATTTTTAATGCTATTACTTTAAAAACCTTAACAGCAGATGACAAAAGAAAAAAGGATAATAAATCTGAGGGGGGCGTTCCAGTTGTAAATGCATTGCTTCTTGGTGTTATGCATTACATTAGTATTTACGTATTATGTTATGGCAGCGGATAGACAAGCTATAAGTGCTATAAAATGGACAAGATATACCTCTGAAGAGCGTCTCTTTTTTTTGCCAAACATAAATGTCTTCTGAAAAAAACCTATTTGATCAGACAGTTCAATATCATCAATATTTCCCTCTTTATCCTGTTCTTCTTTTCCAGAAACTGTACGTTTTACTTAAAGCAATCACTTCATGTGCAGTAACCCACTAATAACTGTGTGAGGCTATTCAGATCTGACAAACAAGAGCGGATGTCTTTTGAACTCCATAAATTTAATATTGCTGAGTGCTTGCAAAATTTACCTAAACGTACAAAACCCCAGACTTAGAAGACAGAGTAACAACACATTTGTTTTAAAGAAACAAAACTCAGAGGGATTCTGTCTCTCTTTTTTTCTTTTTTTGTTAAAAACCATGTACTGAATTTTAATTGTTTAATAAAGCAAGCATCACACAATGCTTCAAAATTTTAAAATTCAGGGATAAAAGTTTACATCCAAAAAGATGAATGGAAAATTGTGCTTTCAGACAGTGAAGTTAATTATCATACAGGGGTTACCTATTCATCTCACAATTGGATTCTGGGCTAATTTGTATAAGTACTGTATATACGTGTGCAGTTCATATCCAGGTCCTGCATAAAACTAAACTATGTGCTTCACTTCACGTAGCAAAGGCACCTGTGTTATTCTCTCTTTTGGACAAAAGATGATATTATGATCCAGGTTTCCTGATGAAGATTACATTTATTTTTGAATATCTCACTCCCATCTCTACGTTGAGTGGTAACATGAGCCACAAGAGAAGGCAGCTTTGTATTCCTGCTTACACTGGAAGAAGTTGCTCTGCGGGCCATTTGAAGCTTCAAACTTGTCACAAGGAAACCGAGCAGAACTGTGAAGCAGAGGGACAGTAACAAAAGGCTATTCTGGTGTGAGGAGAAACTGGAGTCATTTCAGCTCCACAAACAGATGTTGCTACTGGATTGACAAGTAGAGCCTGCTCCTGCCGGGGAAAGGTACAGTTTACCACTAGGACAAACACAGAGCTCATAGATAGTCTGTCGAGGAGTTGAGGAGCTAGATGGGGAAGATGAAAAGGAACCCATTGGTAGATTTCCCAGTCGGATTATATCTGCATTTAAAAAGATCTGTGGAGGGGAAAAAAAAAGAAAAACAACTAAATTTAATTTCTTTTTCCATCCTTTATATAAAATATTTTTAAAACTTTATTCTAATGTGCACCTGAGAGATTAATATGAATATCTAAACAACATACATTTCTACTGGTATTGCTGGCATGTGCCTTTGAACACACATTAGTACACATAATTACAGCTTAACTCCTCACCCAAGACATTTATTCAACCATAAGTGAATAAGTGAGTGCCCATACAATAACATTTTAAGAATGTTTCCTGAACAGGTTGATTTTTCTCTTGAATCTTTTATGACAGAAATTCATTCATTCCAGACAGTAGCGTCTCCCTACCTCAAACAATTCATATTTTAATGAGTGTGAAGTGCTATTAAAGCTTATTCCCCCATGTATTACTTTAAGTAGCAGAAAATTTGTGGCGAAATATGCTAAACTGTATAGTCTTAACAATAACTACATACACGTAATAGTTAAATAATCATGTGTGTTCACATATATTAGATAATGTGCTTACTGGATTTGAAATCAGACGGAAAAGGTTTAAGGTTAAAGTCTTGTTAAGAGCACAATCAAACTATAACCATTTGATTTCTGAACATTGTATCTAAGTCGGAAATGTCCTTTTTTTTTTTACTTTCTCTCATCTGAAACAACACTAAATGTTCTGAGGCTGACCAGTTTGGAAAGGATAGTGTGATCATGAATTTGTTTATAAATAGTTTTATAATGTTTAGAGAGTACATCAGCCATCTGGGAAATTGCTCAGGGTGCTGAATAAATAACTACAGTACAATGAATCTTTATCAAAACAGATGAATAAAATAAGAAAAAAGCAAGTCCTTCAGAGGGGCATACTGATAGAGAAAAAACCTCTGAAAAAAGTGAGCTTTTAGGTGTTTGGTGGTTTTGCTGTTGTTTTTTTTTTTTTTTTTTAATTAAATTAATAAGGGATGAACTGAGGAAGATAGTTTGAGTGAGAAAGTTCCACAATAAGCTAAAGCAAGGTCAGCCATTGCCCTAGGTGCAACACTAGAAACTCTAAACAGCAGAAGGTGTTTCAGTGCGGACACAAGCCCTGGAGATAGCATTATGAGACTTATGAGGTGGTGGGGATCCTGAAATACTGCCCAGTGCTTTAAAATGTTATCTACCCCATTATAGGCAGCAAATATATAGAATGCATAATGATATAGCATACATACTACTCCTCCATTCAGTAGGCGAAAATTCTTTTATATTCAACACCAGCTGCAAATTGTCAGAGAAGCCACGGGAAAGCACCACTAATCCCCTACCAAAAGTGGATGAGGATGGGAAGGCTATGATTTACCAGAGAAAAGACCAAGAGGAATTCTACACAGCTAGAAGTATCCTATTGTTATATGGTCAGTGAGGAAACTGCAGAAAATCTCTGAAGTTCCTGGTGGGAGGAATGGAACACAGAGCTGTATGGGACATATCGTAACCCAAAAGGCAATCAAGTGTGCCCACAAAGAGATCGCCAACTGTCCAAGGAAGACAGATGACCCTTGTTGGAGATTCCATACTAAGAAGAATGGAAAGAACATTCTGCAAGAGGCAGAAAGACAACAGGATGGTGTGCTGTCTTCCTAGAACCAAGAAAGGGTGAACAGGATAACCTGTGTAGTTATAGGCTTGTCAGACTGACATTACTCCCAACAAAATAATGCACAGAGAGTGCGATGACAGGGAGAAGGATGCTAGAGCCAGTAGGCTGAGCTCCTGAGAGGAAGGTCAGCATCACGGGTCCATGAAGAACAGTCTGGTGTAGAAAAAGAGCTCCGTATGCTGGAGAAGAACCTGAGATGAGTTTGAACTATTGTGTTTATTTTGGAGATCCTGAGGACCACTTTGTACTGCTTTCACCTATTAACCCAGCCCCATGTGGTGGTTGGGGGTAGTCCAAAGACATATTGAGGGGAGTTCCTAAGTGGCCCTGAAGAAGGGAAACAGAGCGAGCATGGTTCGGAGTCACCTCTGGCCACAAGTGGGTGGTCAATAAATGGCAACCCTGCTACAAGAGATGATATGGCACTGGTGTGACTGCTGCTGGAATACTGTGTCCAGTTTTGCTGTCCATAATTCAAGAAGGACTTTGATAAATTAGAGTGTTCAGAGAAGAGGCATGAAAATCATTAAAGGATTGAAAAACATTCCTTAAAGGAGCTCAGTCTACTAAATTTATCAAAGAGACGATTAATGGGTGACAATTACAGTCTAAAGTACCCACAAAGCAGGGGTATTCATTCTAGCAGGCAAAGGTATAACAAAATCAAATGACTGAAATTGAACCTAAACAAATTTCAGACTCGAAATAAAGTATAAATATTTAACAGTGAGGGTAATTAATCACTAGTGCAACTTCACCAGGATTGTGGTAAGTTCTCTATCACTGGAAATTTTTAAATCAAGATTGTATGTTTTTCTAAAAGATATGCTCTAGTTCAGGAATTAATTTAGGGAAGTTCCACGCCCTTATAATCTAGACTTCTGGATTTATAATCTGTGAATCTATAATGATCTTTTTTATATCATTGTAGCTACACTTGTGCAGAACCTCAATGTAGGCGTGTTGTACTGCTGTAGATGGGAACTTAAATGGAATTATTCTGGTGTAAGTCAGAAGAGAATCTGCTGCAATTATTTTTTCTAGTCATCTGAAGATTTGGAAGGTTGCTTAACTTTAATTTCTACTTCAGGTTTCACATTGTGGTGTTGTGACAACTTGATTTTGGTTTTGCTACAATATAAAAGCAGCATTCTTGTTTTCTTTCTATGAGGCAAGCATTTGGCCATGCAATATGACATCATGCAAATGGAGTGGTAACAGAAGAAAGGGCAATACTACATTATTATTTGACAAGACAGCCTTGTGATATAATGATTTTCATAAGGAACAACTCAAAGCAAAGTGAACTTTTGACAAATAAGATCCAATCCCCAATGGGAATTCATAAAAGAGCATTCTCTTGCTATGAGAAATGTTTAAAGGCATTAGAGCTACTAGCAGGGATGTGTTTACGGTAAAATTATGTTGAGTCTCCTAGGATTTGGGCAACAAGATTATGAAATTCTTTGATTTTTTTCATGTTCAGTAGCAATACTGTGACAAAGTGCTCTCTAACATTAGCTCTGGATGTTAATTAAATGCTTTTCTTTTGAAAATTCTGTACCACAAGTAAGTTTTTGGTTACAGTAGTTCACAAACCATATCTAGGCCAGAACCAGGCATGACATGACATGTGCGGAAAAGAAAGGACAATTTCCAGTGGAAGTATACAAGATATTTGACTAGACAGAAAACCAATATGAAGAAAGCTATTACATTAAAACGAAATATTGTAACAGACTAAATAAAAAAACAAAACAAAGGGTTTCAAAATTGTTCTGAGTCAAATTTCCCAGCTATTATAATCCCCACTTGGGAAAAATTCCTATTGACATCAATTTTCAGAATTTTGTTGAAGTAAGGAGTCAGAGAGAGCTGAAGGGATACTCATTGCAGCTCTGGCCCCTCGATGCCATAATGATTCTCCCAACACGGGAACAGTACAAAACAGCTGTAAAGCTCCCTTCCAAGGACCTCCTTGCAAGTCCTATGGGGCATGCCCAGGGTCAGAAAGGGGCAAAGGTGTCTTAAAGACACCAATATAGTCCACTCACCCAGGGTCTTTTGTAATTATAAACAGTAAGATTCACCTTGCAATCCATCAGCATTTGAGGTTGTGACGGACTCCCTAGATCAGCAGTTTCCCGCCTGGGGTCCAAACATGTAATTCCACCAAGGTCAAGGGATCACAGTCAATACTGTGGGGCAGATTCTCTGCCCTGTTACATTTCAAACCACCTGTAGTTTCCTGGCTGAGGATTCCCCTGTACAGAGCACACGGGGAAGTGCTAATGAATACCCTGCCCCCCAATCTAAATAGCCCTAAACTCTGCTTTGTAAAAGCACTGAATGAGTGTTCCCCTTCTGTGAAAGAGGCCAGAGAAATTAAGCTGTCAGCTACAATGTGTTCAATGAGAGCTGCTCAACTTTGTTTATCCTAGTGTTTTGTTAATGTCTTAATGTTAATGTGTTTTGTGGAGGCAGGGAAGATGAAACAGATTAGCTCTATATATAATAGTGAAATCTAAGGTGGAAGCTTCAATTGGCTCTGAGGATATGACCTAGTGGTAAATAATAATTTGATTTTAGTATTAAAATATTCAACTAGCTAAGCTGATTTTGTTGCCATAGGGAAATTCTCTAATTGGGTCTGTTACTCAATAGATAGCGAGCTACCTCCTTTTAGGACTCATCTTTTTTACTCATCTTTTAGGACTTATACGGATAGATCATCTGCTGTATTCATTTGATGATTTGACTAAATGTATTGCTTAATTTCAATATTGCTGTTAACTTGTCTATTCCATCTTATTTTGACCTCAGTTTAACAATTTAATTGTTGAACCCTTGGTTGGTTTACAGTAGTTTAGCCTTAGTGATAAGTTTTGATTTCATTTTTGTTTGTTGATTAACTTTAATAACAATTTATTAAAAGGATATTAAGTCAACTTTCTCCCAATAAGTAACTTGAGCCAGAATTACTGAAAATCTCTGGTGGATATCGGCCAATCCACCTAGGAGCCTAATCTGTTTCTTCTAAATTAGTTCTTTGGTTCTCACAAGCTCTACCAAGTACAATGGAGCTATGCTGATTTACACCAACTGAGGATTTGGCCCAGGGTTGGGTCTTTTCTGTGCATTAGTTTGGATATATTATTGTTTTGTAAGCACAGATGGTTGTTTTCACAAATTGGGTCACTAGGCTCCCATCAATGCAGTTTTCACATGTTGGTATGTTTGAAAATACAAGTTGAGCACCCAAACTGTGGCCCTTTTAACATTGTATTCCCACACAGACCATCCCTTGAAACTTTTAACCGTTTTTATTCCTTTCTTTCAACACTTATTCACTGAATTCAACC